CATTACACACATGTGCCTTAAAAGAATCTGACATATTTTGGACAAATAATGGCCAAAATATGCTATAATACTGAAAGTGGCATTATAACAGTGAAACTTCAGTCATTTTTTCAGAGAAGGTCTACACAAAGATATTTTTTGGCAGAACTTATGTAACTTTTGTGTTCTACTTTGATGAAGAACTGAAACAAAATATCACTACTCTCTATGATTCTGTGCGATTCCCAAAGCTGAGCCGTTCTGTGTCTTTGGTTTTACACAATAGATCTGTCACAATGTCTGTCATTCCTACACAGTAAATTGTAAAGGAAATGGAATATAACCTGACTGCAAACTGTAACATCTGAATCCTTCTATCAGCTATTCGATAAAAAAAAAGAAGAAATGAATTCAGTTGGATGTATGATAAAATGTGTGTATTTGTGTCTAAGCATTTGTGTATGTGTGAATACGAATTACTTTCACTTACCATTTTAATTGATGACACAGGTCCGATGCTGTTCACGTATATGTCAACGTCTATGACAGTCGGCTTAACTGCAAGTAAAATAAACAAAATGTTTGATATTTGACACACTCTGACCTTAAACGTCTTCTGTCGAATGAGAACAAACCACAAATATCTGGCACTGAAGAAACTCTATGCTAAACTAATTTGCAAAAAGCAGATGTTATGAATGGTAGGTCCCCTGGGAGACGTCAGCATTAACAGATGCTGTGCTGGCTACTGACCCGCACTCTGCTGCCTGAGTTCTGTTTGGCTTTGTCAGCTCTGCATTGCCACACTCAGGCGCTTATCCACAATGTAACCACAGACTGCATATAAGTTATAATCCATTTAGTCAATGGCAGCAATGCAATTTTAAAACATCAATATATTCCAATACAGAACACACCCAGAGACAAAGATGAAATTATTATTTATTTTTGTTTTTTTTTGGGGGGAGGGGGCAGCTCTTTGAGTTGGAACTCAGAAGGTTGCCAGTCACCAAATTGCCCATAGATGTACATGTGTGAGTGAATGGTGTGTGATCGTGCCCTGCAATGGGTTGGCGCCCCACCTCAGGCACCCATAGGCTCCAGATCCCCCATGACCCTGAACAGGATAAGTGGCTGCAGAAAATGGATGGATGGATGGATGGATGGATGTAAGAGTGCATCATTGCATTCATAAAGAACTAAATCCTGGGGTCCCTAGAACCATGTATCGCTGCATATCTGTAGCGATAAACACCCCATAACCTTGGTCTTTTTTATGTTTTGTTTTTTAACCTATTCTGAATGAACCATAGTGCCACCTGCACCCTAACTTGCAGAGGTGGCTTCTGTCTTACTGCAGCCATACACATACTTGGATGACATTGTCTCAAATCAGGTAACATAACCACCTCACCACCAGAATTAGCTTCATGTTTTCCGTGTTGAACATCTACTTGTGAATGTAGGTTTCGCCCATGTCAAGAATGTAAAGAGGCATAACGCATTATAAGCAAGTTCACTATGCATTATGAGTGCTTTATGAAGCTCTCATCTATAATGCAGTATAGATATCTTCATAATGGAGTACAAAGTGTCCAAATTCTTATACCAACCATTATAATGGAGCTTATGAAGTATTATAATCAATACTATAATTCCTTATGACTGTCAACAGAAGATGCTATAATGCTTTATTAATTCTTATACTGACCATTACAATGCATCTTGAAGGTATCTCTAATGCATTATATGTATAAGTAAAGTGTTACTGCAATTGCTAATTGTTATAATATTTCTGCCAAATGAAACATCCGCCTGTGAGATTTAAGTTGTTCCCTATCTCCTACTGGCCTTCCCTCGGAGAGAAATTAATGCTTCTCCACCCAATCAAAGGAGCCTCACTGCTGACTCATCTCTGCTGGGAATGAAAAGTAAAAGGTTCATTTTAAGTCATTAAAATGTTCCTCTCTATTTTCAGAAACTGTGGTTCAGTTATGAGTTCTATCAGTCACAATAAGTGGCGTGAGCCCTCACTCTCTCAAACACACACAAAAGCCACTGGTGGAATATCATCTGACTCTTAGCACAGCTAGTCAGTCAATGTGTCAAATGCTGTCAGTCCCCACTCTTGTGAAACTGTGAGCAGGGCCATCGTGAAACCCTCAAAAGGTGAAGATTAGAATTAGCTGCGGTAAAATCTTAACTACAGCTCTAATTAAAAAAAGTGATTTGAAAAGTTATCAAAAATTATGAAGTCTGTCAGCTTCCTGTTCCAAGTGCCACTAACACATTGCTGATTCACACTTTTTTTACACATTTTTTTTAAACATGGAGAAAAAGCACAGATGTCAGAATTAATCTATAACTGGAAAACAAGCTGAAGACTCCTGCACTGTGTTGGGTTACTTACTTAAGTCTCATTATACTTTAAAAGTTTTTTCCTTTTTTTTTTTTGAATGAACACCCCCTAATGCAGCACTTTGCCAAGTTTCCGAAAGCACGTGGATGTGCTGTATTTGCTTTCTTCTGTAAATTATAACGAACAGACCAGCAAAGCTTCGGAGTGCAGACTTGCTGCACTGTGAAATGTCAGGCTGAGCAATATTGCCCATTCAGCTGGAGCAAACCATTGATGGGATGTGACTGCCAGTGCATAAAAGCCTTCAGCAAGAAGCCAGTAGCGGGAACACCTTCCATTATGGGTTATTTGGGTCTTTTTATGAAAGTGCATCATCGGTGCCTGGTTGGCACTTGGAGCAAAACCGGAAACAACAGCAGTCAACAATAAACCTCAGAAGACTGAGCTTCTCCAACCTGTTCCTTTCCAAAGACTATTTACAGAGATGCACACCTACTGACCGCTGCCAGGTCCGGCCAGCCACCTGCTCTCTGCCCTGAGTGCCTCCTCATGTTCTCTATAAGAACCAGAGACAAGGATCATGACTCATTTGTACTGTATGAAATGGCATAGAACAGTCTATCTTACACAGGTCGAAAGTAATTTACACAGAAAAATATAATTAAATAACAGTGGTAGGAATAGCATGCTGTGATGCGAATGAAAGATAACCAGGTCGTGTGATACAGCAGCTGAACGGTTGGCTGTTAGTGGGAGACCTCTCATCTCTAAGCCCTTATTGAAGCCGGATTTAATTGGATGCTATAAAAGACTGACCTACTCACTGGTTGCATTTTAATAGATTTTAAGAAACACTCATTGTTTTCTTTTCCGCATGTAGTATATTTTCATTCTCGTAAGATATGTAAATGAAATATGCAAATACACGCAGAGCTTATTGTCGTCTGCTTCCATTTAATTTGCTTACAGAATTCCCAATGTATCAATTAGACGTTAAGCACTTATTTCCTTGCTTTGAAAAACAAAAACAATTAAGCCTTTGTTTTATTGTGGCATCATTCAGGGAATTTTTATATTTTATTATTATTGCTGTTTATTTCTTTAATAGGTTAAAACTCTTAATCAAGTGTCATAAAGATGAGAATTCTTTCAGCACTAAGAGCTACTAACACTATAAATTATAAGTGTACCTCCTGGATTTGTGTCAAGATGGCAATTTAAAACTACAAATGCTTCTTTTTTCAAAGGACCTAAAATATACTTTAGTGTATAGGTCCCTGCATTTTTTATTACAGCAATTTCAAACCTTTGGCAGTGAGTTGTCATGCACGTTGTAAACACACACCTTAGGACAACTGATTTATTAGATAGTGCACCAAACTTATTCATCAATACAATTTCATGGGACATGAAGTTAAATTATAATACTATTTATGTTTTTGCTCCCTCTCAGCTCCCGGTAGGTCTGAGAAACACTGATTTAAGTAACAGAACCTTAACAGAAGCCTTCTTTCCCTTAGAAGTAGAATTCACAAAGGCCACGGCAGTAACATATGCGTGTAAATATCCCAAACACAGATCATTACACAGGAATCAGCCTAGATCTTGATCAATGGCAATTTGGCTTTGACACATTCATTTCAAATGTATTTTGCTGATTCCTAAAACTTATGGCATTATAATTTACCATTATTGCTAAATTAATCTAAGAGGTGATTCTTAAATTAATTTTTAATTGGAAGTTAGGGTCATTTGATTAATCTGGCATTTGCTACTCATCAAAGCACTCATTCCAATGATTGAAACAGGTGATCTTGACACAGCAGTAATTTAGGAAACATTGTGATGATATTCAGATTGTTCTTCCTGTAAAAGAAAGGCTAAGAATAAGAAGTTTATTAAAGACATTAATTGTGACAGGAGCATTACACCGCTTCCTCTCTGAGAGAGTTACATATCAAAGTGGCAACAAAAATACATAATCGCTTCTTCCTTTGTAATATTTATGTACTGAATGAAGTAAGAATTGCTGAATTACGCATAAATCAATATACAATATTTTGGCAGTGGAGCCAACAAAAAATATAATAATAATACATAAAATATAATGAAGAACATGCTGACCCTATATAAAGATAGACTATGTGTCCCACAAACAAATATCTGCTTTTATGTAAATGTATAAAATGAATGAGGTACCAGTCAGCTTTATGCAAATGACTAAATTAGCTTTGGCGTGACCCTTGGCAAAGTGGCTCAGGTCACCACTTCTGTGGAAGAAGATGCAGAGACCATCATGCAATAATGGAGAAGGACTGAAATCCCGGCCATTTGGTTGTAATAGTACTTGAAGTGATCAAATTTCAAAAGCAGGTCAGACCTCATTTTCCCATAGGTGTGTTATTTTCATCCCCTTTGAAGAGGCCATTTCAGCACAATATGAAGATCAATATGAAGATGATTTAGAGACATTAATATCATTCCATGTGTGCATCTCTTCTAATGAAGTAGGTCAAAGTTAGGGAAAAGCATGCTTTTGCTATTACTCTATAGCTGAGTAAAAACATAGGCCACTCAAGTAACAGTAAATGTAATCATTTCAAAAACATTCAATACAATGTAAACACATTTTATTCTTATCTCTCCATTCATTTTCCACCCACTTAATCAGAACAAGGTTGCAAGGGAGGCTGGAATCAGCCTAGACAGGATGCCAGTCCATTGCAGGGCATGCAAACATCAAGAAATGGGCATATCATAAATAGCGCCCCCACCTGGCTGCACATCTTTGGACAGCATGAGAAAATCAAAATCAAAAGAATTTCCACCCCCAAACTGAGAGGGGTGCAAAAACGGTGCTTCCCAATGCACCACAGTACTGGTACACTGAGAGACTTCATATAACAAACTGGGTGAGATGGACCACTCTCCACGTCACTTGAGAACAGTCAGGCTCTGCTTACATTCCAGCCAAAAGATCTATAATTACTCCTGACCTCCTCAGACAGATGGAGAAAACCTCACACGGCACAGCACAACTGCACGCACATTCACACACTTCCCCACCAGTTTAGTTCCACCACATGTACGCGCTGGGCATGCTGGTAAAAGGCATCTGTGTACCTCCCAAATTATAGGATGTCAGATAAACTAGGCCTGGAACTAAAGATGGGACTTGCATCTGAAAGATTATTGAAGA